TTAACACAAAAACCCGCCCATGAAGACAGAGGCGCACAAACAGATGGTGCGGACGCTGGCAGTGCGAGGAATTCCACCGCAAAAAATCCTGCGATGAAGACCAGAAAAGCGTTGAATCATGGTCGCGACTCGAAGAAGGGGGAGCAGTTGATCAGTGCGCTCTCATACAATAGGAAAACGGCGTCTCTGGATTCGGATCATGTGGTGTCCGAGACAGAACTAAACGACTCAAAATTAGAGGAAAACACAAGTCCCGATGCTGGTGCCAGTTACTGTATAAAAACCGAACCTGTGTCGCCAGTGATGCATTACGAAATTATTGTTACTGATAGATGTAACATGAGTAAAAATGGTGAGAGAAGGACGCCTCCGTGCAACTTCAACTCGCAGGGGATGAAATCCGACAGTTCTGTCAGCAAGTCGGCGGTCGTGGGAGAGAAACCGGCATTGCCCAACAAGCAAGACATTACAAAGGGGCACACCACCGGCACGAATACTTCAACATCAACCACCAGCACGGCAACTTCGGGATCAACCATGGAAGAAGGTGTTGACGTGAAGCTCGAACTAGTGGACGATGATTGCGATGTTGGCGGGAAAACGGACACAACAAACACACAAGACGCGAGCTGCAGACCGGTGAAATCCGAGACGGTCGCGTCACCAAAACCCTGGGAAGAAATTGAAAGCAACCCGAGTAGTCGCTCTCCAAGAAAATACACATCGTCTGAAGATAAAAGCACAGCGAAGTTACATTCACCCGCAGTCACCGGCAAAGAATCGACCAAAAAGAGATGTTTGGATCATCGATTCAATTTTTCGACAACCGAAAATCAAAAGTTCCAAACCCTGTGGTCTCCTAGCAACAGTGCACGAGAAGTGACGCCTCACGTCCCTAAAATCTACATAGTAGACAAAAAGGGAAGCCCCAAGGTCCTCGCGGAGTTAGGCAATGCTCCAGTAGGTCTCAATAAGGAAAGCCTCGTACCCCACACTTTTCTTGTCAATAAACGACGATGTAAGAGAAAGAGATGCCAAATCAACGATGAAAAAGCGGATCTAACATTTCCAGCGTCAACCTCAGCGGTCTCCCAGAAAACTTCGACAAGACAATTCGACGTGGAATCCCCGCTGGCAACACTTCGAGTTAACACAGGAAACATGTCACAGAATTTGCCCTTAAAGGTAAGTAAACCTAGGAAACATGTCACATAATATTTACTCTTTAAGGTGAGTAAAAAAAGGAAACATGTCACAGAATTTACCCTTAAAGGTAAGTAAACACATGAAGCATTTCACAGAATTTACCCTTAAGGGTAAAAAACGCATGATTCTTGTCACACAATTTACCCTTAAAGGTAAGTAAACACAGAAAATATGTCAGAATTTACCCTTAAAGGTAAGTAAACAGAGATAACATTTCACAAATTTTGCCCTTAAAGGCAGATGTCAGATGTTGTACAATTGGTTATCTGAACAACTAGTATCTGTGCGGGGAGAGAGAGATTCCCTGCATTAAAATATTTGAAATGTTTGGTCCATATAACTAAACCTACCATTTGAAATATTTTAGGTAGCAAATTTTACCCCGTACTGCAACGTAAATGACCCAATTGTTATTTAAATATCTTTTATAAATATTTTTCTTCTGGTGTGTCCTGGTTCCTTATCTCAACCGACCCACCCCTAAATGCTTTATAATTTATAATACCGAGTTTGGGGGAGGGGGGAGGGAAGGGAAAGCTGTCACGAAGCGAACGTCACGTGCGACGCTTGGACTCAAGTAAAAAGGTGGAATTTTTTCGGAGGAGACCATTATATTAATGAATAAAGAGCCATGGGTATGGTGTAGAACTGCCTGGAGGACTATTGTTTATAGAAAATGAGAAATTAACTCTTTTAAGTAACTCTTGGACCCCAACTGCACCCAGTTAAGTTCTATTAGGTAATAAGAAGTAATTGTTAAAATGCAATCAAAAGGAGTTAAGAAAAAAACAAAAAACAACAGCATTGATGGGCTTCGATGTGTTTGTTTATACTCACTCAATACTTAACTTGATGCAGCATATATAGGCCTCAAGGGAATAACTCGACGACGCCTTGTTTTAAAGAAAACCTAGTGCACTAACAGCCACTGTAACAAACTGATCTGTTAATTGTTTGCACGTGTGGTTATCAACACACCAACCCCCCCTAGACTTCGTCAGTGCCCCCCTTTTAATCAACACCCTTTCTCTTCAACTGTTCCAGACGGCGATAGCGTTTGGTGAGTCCCAGAGGGTAAACAAGAACGGCGAGAAAGAGCGAATCATGTATCTGCTGGATGCCAACAACAAGCCTGTCATGTTAGTGGAGAAGGTAAGATCTTGAACTAGTTGCTTTTTTTTTGGAAGAATCAAACACAAGACTTCTGCGAAACTTTCTTTTGATCCCATCCCTTTTCACAAAGTGCTAATCGTAATGAAATTGTGTTGAAAAAAAAAAGATAAATTTTTATTTGTAATAAAGCTGGACAACATAAAGGGTCATCTCCTATTTTGAATTTCATAACATTTATCCGTAGCATTATTAGGAAACTGGTCAAAAAAATCTAAGTATTCAAAGGGTTTTTTTTTCCTTCTGACTTTTAAAACGTTTACTTATATGTATTATGTATGTTAGGGTGGTCCAAATTTTACACAAGAAAATCATTCCTACAAATTTTCAGTTAAATTGAATCATCTTTAGGCGTCGCTCGGGTAAGTCAATTTTTTGGTCATTATCGTCTATATGACGAAATGGGAAAACTAGTGTAAAATGGTCGTAAATGAAAAATGGTTCAATTTTTGGAACAAGTGAAGAAAGAATTTAAAACATCTTCCGTACCACTGGTAGTGCAATGGGATGGAAAGCTTCTTCTTGATCTTACTGGGAATGAAAAGGTTGATAGACTACCAGTCATTGTTTCAGGTGTGGGATTAAATCAGCTTCTTGGTGTCCCAAGCTGCAATCCAGTACTACAAAGTCTAAAGCATCTGAAGTTGCACATTTATTGGAAAAGCTGGGGATCAAAGATAAAGTAATCAATGTGCTTTGATACTCCCTCAAGTAATACAGGTCATATTAGTGCAGACTGTATAATTTTAGAACAAGATTGGAAAAGGACTGTCTCTACTTTGCTCGCGGCCACCATATTTTAGAAATTGTTCTGGCAAGTGTCTTCGGGGAGCGTATTGGGAAAGATAGCCACAGAACGCTGTATTACACAACATGAGTTTCATTCTAAAAGTGTGTGGACGTGTTATGTTGTTTATATGCAATTCTATGTAATAGAAATAGTTTGTAGTATGTTTTAATGGTAAACACTATAAAAATACTACAGTATAAACTTATTGATATATAAGGATGTAATGAAGAAACTTCAATAAATGTTCAATTTTAATAAAAATCTATGATATTTTGCACGCATTGTGTCATATAGTGGAGCATATAAAAGGGGGGTGGGGGTCAGAACATTGAAAATATAATATTTTTAAAATTATATATTGTGGACCACCCACCCTAAATTGCATTTTTTTTTTATTGTTATCAATATCCAAGTATTTATGATTTTGCAACATGTTGGGATTCAACGAAAGGGAAAACATTACGTTACCGGTACCAGATAAAATCATGAATAGTTGTCTTTGTGTAGAATTTTTAAATTAGTGGTTAGATTTTGTGAGAGAATCCAACCTTTCAAAATTTAAATCATAAATGACATTGGTCAGTCTGGTGTACACATCAAAGCACTAATTTACACGCACAGCTCCAGCTGTCAGAGTTAAAAATAAAATATAAAGCATTGGAATGCTCATTTGATCAAAATCATTTAATTACAATAAACATTTTGGTGACAGCAATCGCTTAATTCTACCTCATCATCTTTCTCAGATAGGGAAAAACAATGCTGAAGTACACCTCCCAAGCCCAGAGAGCATGTAAAAGTGAAAGCAATACAGAATGGTTATTCAATCTGAATGACTACCAAAGTTAATATGTTCAATCATCATACAACAACTTGTGCACTGGAAGTGTCCAATGAAGGCAAGCATTAGCAGTCACTAACTACCAACAGGAATGCTATTCACTAAAAAGATTGGCAGTTACAAATGAAATTACCAACAACTGACAGGAGTGACAGACACAGTCAGCATTAACGGTCACAAACAGCCTTGCCTGTCACAGTCAGCATGGATAGTCGCAACAAGCATTAAAATTCACAGCAAATATTTGCTATTCTCAGGAAGCATTCCAAGCCAAAATCACCAGATTGTGCAGATTGAAATAATAGTTTCAGAGTTTTAAGCCATTGCAAGTTCCGCTAACATTATAAACTACAAATCTCTATGTGACGCTTCACGTGAGAGTTTAATGAAATTTAAAAACAATGGATGGATGAAGCAACATATTCATACTTGGAATAATTGTGTTATGTCATAAATGTGACCAAAAATTATTTGGACATGGTATAAGTGTGTTCTGTCATAAAAGAAACAACATTGTGATTTTATAATTGAGACAAAATACTCAGAAATGAAAAGAGCAGGATCATTGCTTGTATTTAAGTATCAAGGTAACTAGATTATTAAATTAAATTCTTTTGAACATGAAAAATATTCCTCTTTAACTTGTTTTCTGTAAAAAAAAATAAACTATAATACCGGTACCTCATAAACTACATATTAATTTTTTAAAGTTTTATTTGCTTTTAAAGTATCAAAATTATTTGTCACACAAATATTAACTAAAGCTGTTTACTTCCCGACCAATAGGGTGAGGACATTAACTTTCTCTGAGGAACACAATGTTACTTTGTGTGTTGTGTCTCCCTCCATCCCCGGTACTGATCAGAAAAACTTTGAGGATTTTTAAAAATATTTTTAAATGTGATAGGAAACTAAATGTTGACCTCAATACACATATTTTGACCTTAAGGTTTTTTTTTTTTTTGGTAAATAAAAACATGGAACATTTTTAATCACTATTTAATAATTTTAATCATTGTATTAATTGACATCACAACAACATTCCGAAATTGATAAAATTGCTCCAACATAACACAAATATAGATTTTGTTTCAAAATGCATCAATGAAATTAATATTAAGAAAACAGTATAAATGGAGGATTATTCAGTAAAGATTATTACAAAAACTTGTCTCGGAATTGTCAGCAGTTGTAAACATTAAATGTTTTAGCAAACAATATTTTCTTTAATGTTCGCTTACAAGCTGAAATACTTGAAATGGAAAAAAATGTTATTTTTTTTTATACTTCAAATGTCATCAATAAAATATACTATTAGCTCAAATTTTTCTAAATATTCCTTGCAGTCTTAAATGCAATATGAAAAAATACAGAAATCTTGTGCTTTTTAGGTTTCCATATCACAACAAAAAATATATTTGTCAATCAAATAGGCAAAAAATATTTAAAAAATAACACATTAATTTATCACACAGTAATGACTGTATGATTATAATTAAACAACACATGTATTTAATATTAGCCCCTTTCAATTATCATGGCATGGAATGCATTTGTTCATAATAAAATTGTGGAACTCAAGATAGGGATTCACTCAGAGCATAAGGCATAATTCAATGAGTCGCTCTATATATTATTGCTCCTGTCCAACATTAAATCAAGAATGCTTCTGCTAAACAATTAATGGTAATTAATAATGCCCATTAATATATTTTCATTTTAAAACTATTTCATTTCTGTTTTGAGGAAATGTGCCATTTGGGGTGCAACATCTTGAAAAAATGATCTAAGCATTCAAAGCTTTACTACTTTATATGTTTCGTTATTATTAATAGTCACGGAGCTGAGACAAAATTCCTATTTGATCAAAACAACATTCATTTAAAATTACCTATGTCAGATGTATAAACACCCAAAACTCTATATAAAGTAAATTTTATATTTGGGTAAAAACTGTAAAAACTTGGTTTTGAGAAGTGAGACCATATTATCAAACAATAAAATTAGGGATGTTAAATAAAAAATCGGAGTTCACATAATCATTTTGAAAACAATTATATTTTGCTGGTTTTCTTTCTAAAATAGGATTATCAAAGTTTTAAATTAATTTAAAATTAGCATTTTAATTACCTTAAACTTACAAAAGTCCAAGAATTGGGATAAAACTCGTTAATAATAGATGGCAACTCATCTAAGAGAAGGCAAACTCTGAAATCAAACTCAGAGATGGAGTCCCGTAGGCAGTATAACATTGACACAATGAAAATTCTGAATACTCCTGTGACATAGAGCGCATAAAAGCACCGTGAAACACACAAGACGAACTGCTGGTCATCTGCTATATCCTGGCTCATCTTAATTAAGCCTTGCCATTGAATCAAATAGACAAGGACAAGAGTGAGGCTGACGAATCGAGCAACTCTCCCTCACTTTAAACAAAATACAGCTCAAGTTAAGGCCACTACTACTACTACTAAAGTGAAAATTGCAGTGGTCATCTTCGTTTGCGAAGAACAAAAAATAGTTAACATGTGCCAATGTGTTCCTTATTCACTTGTGATTTAGAAACAGTGCCAAGTGCAAAATCAAAATAAAATGATGGCTGTATAGGTCACTTTTTTCTAGCCAAAAGCATTAAACATTTTAATTAATTACTTAAATTACTATTACAACTAATTAAGTAGAAAACAAAAAAAAAAGAAATAATAATATTTTTTAAAAATTTAACAAAATTTAGTGGCCTATTGAAAATGAAAACATGGAGTTGCTGTGCCCATTTCCAGTCTTTTCAGTTTGTCATGAAACTACCCAATATAATCAGTTTAAAATTGTATTTTACAAAAATTGGTTCACAAAAAAAAAAAAGATCTGATATCTCCACTAACAAATAAAATAATTTATCAATCATGCAAGGTTAAGTTGCCTCCTCTTTGTTTAAAATCATAAATTAAACAAAGTAAGACCTGATATTTGACAACATGTTGCTTTTTAAGGCTTCTTGCTGACACGTTCGTTGTTTTGTTGCGTTTTTTCTCCCAGGTTTTCCCATAATTTGTTTTGCTCATTTCCGTTTTTCTAACCTGATTACACTCTCTCCCCATTATTACCATGTTGTTTTAAATTGGTTGGATGGAATAGTTTAGGTAGATAATAACAGCTTAAATTTCACATTTAACTTATCTTAACTATTGTCCTTGATGTAGATGAAAACATTTGGTCCACTCAATATTAAGTAGTGCAATAAGTTTTTTCATTTTATACATATTTACTATATGTATATATATTTGTTTGGCTAAGCTCAGCATTGCTTTGATCATACACACCAGGCCGAAGGGTGGATGCCCAAAAATCTACTGGATCAGAATGATCATAATCAAATGAAGATTTATTGGCGTTATCCCAACACTACTGTCTCATGTTTATTTATATAAAATATAACGCACAAGAATTTGTTCAAGAATTGAAACAAAATTGTTAAAAGGCTTCTAAATGAAAATAATAATAGGTAGATAATGCAAAAGTATTTTACCAGCAAGAAGAGAAATCACAAAATGTTAAAGTTTTACAAAGTTAAGGTGTATGAAACAATCCTAGCTTCAAACAAGTTATTTTTACAATTATCCCCACATAATCCTAAAATGTAGCTGTTCAATTAAGAGAATGGCATAACTATATTCATTGCTTCGCGTTACTTTCTACTAAAAGAAATGATAATATTGTTAAATTCCATGCCGATTTCCTCACAATTTCTTATGCCCTATTACAAAAAAATCAATAATATAAAGAGATGCGTTTAAATAAAACTACAGCTACAACTAGACAAATTTGAATCATTAATATTTTCTCCCTGAAATAAACCAAAGCTGCTACTAGACTAGGGTGACCAAACGTCCAGTAAAAACGAGATTGTCCAGTTTTTTCATGATCGTACCTGGTGTCCCGAAAAAGTCTCTCGGGACGACTAAATTTCCCATTTCTAAAACCAAACACATTTTCAAATCACTAAAACTTCCTAATTTGTAAATTATATAACTTCAAGTAATATTTTGGCTAGCTGTGTAGCCAGTGCCAGTAGTGATGTGGGCTCGCGTGATGGCTGCACTGTTCTTCCTCCACCACTCTGCCGACAAGATGAGAGTGGAGACCCTTTCTGCAATCCTGCGGTTCTCTTTACAATTTCAAAATGGGCTGTTCTAGTTTTGACAACTTGATGTTAGATAAGAAGGAGGTTTTAACAATGGCTGGGACAACAGCCAAATATCCTCAATTTAAATCCTAGACTAGAGAAATTTAATTTGTTGTGTTGTATTACGTTGTAAAATATGTTTAAATAAATAAGTATTCACTGCAAAATTATCTTTTTCGTTTATGATGTGCCGCAGAGTTTAAATTTAGTTAAAAAAGTGAAGGTAAGTTAAAAAGATTTCTAGGCTAAAATAGTAAAATATTAGCATATTTCAATAAACAGTTTCCGGCGGTGGCTCCCGGACCGGACCCCTCTTTAACTGAAGGGTATCCCCCCCCAAACCCTCCTTTGCTGTGTCCAGTTTTGTCCATTTCATGATTTGGTCACCCTATACTAGACCAACTAAAGCTTTTACTAAAGTCTTTTACCAACTAATAAATACCACAAGACCAACTGAAGCTGCTCTTAAACTTACTTAAACTACTTATACTTAGTAACAGAACAACTGAAAACACCACTAGACCATTAAGAATCACTAACTTTGTCTTGTTCAAAAAATGCCAACTCTTCCAGGGCCACAGGGTAATCTTTGAGAAGAGTTGGACCTTGGACTAGGCCCCCTCTCAGTTTATCATTCCAAGATCCCGCAGGGAGGTATATATCTCGTTTCCTTGCTCCTTCAACAACCACAGGTGCCACAAGCAGATCATCTCCCAGCAGATACTCATCTTCACTCACCAACGCCTGCTGATCATTGGGAGCAATCCACCAGAGTGGACGGACTATTGGAAAACCTGACATGACACTGTCCTCTGCAAGCTCAACAATTTTCTTAGCATATTGCTCCCTTATCTGTAAGTAGTTTCTGGTAATGGCTATGACCTCATCATCATAGATCCAAGGCACAACAGAAAATTGAACAGCTGGAAGGAAGGTATTGAGCTCCAACCATCTTATATACAGTTCTCTCCTTGGATAAGCCCCGCCTTCAAATGCTATCATATCAGCATAAGCATTTCCTCCAATCATGTCGGGCAAAACAAACGGATAGCCAATGATACCTAAGGTCAGCACTGAGGGTATCACAGTGACCAGTCCGCCTTGTCGATCCCAACTGGACATGCGATCAAACAAACGGACAAAGATTGGAAGTTTCTGGGCATCCCATCCGACTCTGACCTCTTGCCTATGGGATGTTGGATCTGCACTGTAAGCCAGCTCTGCCCACAAGGTGGCGTATTCATTGGATGAGACCATGTCTTCAAATGTGTGATGAGCATGCGGGACAAAGTGAGCTTCTCCAGCATCAAACTAAGAGAAAACAGCTTACAGTTTAGGGGCATCAATGTGTGTGAGTTCTTCAAAACATTAATTAGTTTCGTACAGAGCTTACAGAAAACCCAATGAAAATTAATGAAAGGGTTGTGTTGAAATTGAAATGCATTTTAAATCTAATTTAAAAACAAAACCTCTCATGATATAAATGACACTTACTTTAAAAGAACTGATATTGTACAGGTCCTTGAGATTGGTCAGCTTCTGTAGATACCACAAAACTGCTGCAGGATTTGTGACATCCAGAAGTGCGGACATGTCTTCATTCCACCATCTCACTAGGGCAGGAGTATCACTTCCCTTAAATAGATAAAGCATTTACACAACTGTATTTATTTCTCTAGATAAATACATTGCAGTGTTCATTCATTAAATCCTAACCTTGCTCATTTCATCCAGGTGCCACTTAATGATGTCAATTTCTAAAATTAGTAACACAATTTTGTTTGACCAATCAGAAATAAATGGATGCTACTTTAAAAACAATGGAATATTTCTGGATGCATTCAATCAATTGTGTCATATTATGTAAAAGTCTGCCTGAGACTTTATTTCCTTTAGATCTAAAAAATTAAAAGCACATAAAATAATATAATAAATAATTTTTTTTTTTTCCAAAATTTTTAAGGTACATTGGTACAATAGTATGACCCACGTTCCCTAGCTACACTGTTTAGCCTTTTGTCACAGCATCCTACCTTTATTGACTTTTTAAACACACATCTATCATAGACATAACAAATAATAATTCTCTAAGGTATGTTATGGGTGTAACGCTGTGTTCAACAGGCGTAAAATAAAATTGCCAGAAGTTAGCACTAATTGGGATTCTTTTCAAGTGCGTCACTTGAATACATGTTGTCAAGTAGCTTAAGAAGATGGGAAGTTCAGGCGTTTGTTTGACTTGTTATTTCTAGTGTTTAAATAATAATATTACACAGCTTCCCATGGTTCTTAAGATTAAAAAGCTACCTTTGACTTACACCAACTTACCCTTGCCATGACGATGTATTTGTGGTGCATGGCTTCTTTAAATGAAGCTGATGACAGGCTCAGGAAAGGATGTGTCCACAGAGATACAGCAAAGCCTTTTTTATTTAAGCTGGCAACCATCTGCTTAGGGTCAGGAAATTTAGCTTCATCAAAATCGAGGTCGCCATAGTTGACTGTCCATCTGTCATCGATTTCCAGCTGGGCAGCTGGGAATTTATGCTGCCGTATTTTATCTAAAGGAGTATAAAAATATTTTCTTTACTTAGAGGAGTATTAACAATCATTTTTCAATATCTAAGTGTTTGAGTTATAAAGCTTTTTTTTTTGTCATGCTAAAAATCAAACTGAATGGCTCAAGCGAGCCTGTGCGGAGATACTGATCTTCCATTGAGGGCTTTCTCTGCTGGCAGATAGGGGAAAGCCCACCAGATATGGCGGGTGCCGGGAAATAAAATACCCGGGGCAGACCAAAATCAGAACCTACTGCCTTTTAGGAAGTAGAGGTATCCACAAAGGCTAGCGAACCATACCCAAATATTAAGGCAGCTACCTAAAGAGCTGTAAAGGTCAAAGCCCTACATGGGCTGTAGCACCACAGGGATGGCGCAATCAAGCCATGCTATGATGTTAATCTTAAATGAAGTTTAAAATATTTTACACTGTGAGTCAACATTATATTGCCACATGTAGCATGGACACACTAAACACCACTGCAAGCAAGAATTTTGCATCTTACGTTAAAGTTTGTCTTGGTCAGATACTTGGCTCTAGGGCAGGGCACTGGTCTAAAACTCATAAGCAGTGGGCCAAATGTGGCCCTTCAAGCCATAGTCATAGAATGCAGAAAGGTTGGTGTCACTTATTATACGGGTCATAAAAAAGACTAAGCTTAATAATGACCCATGTAGATGCCACTAAATTTCTAATTATCTGCGTTGTTTTATAGGGAAGCTTACACTGCTTTTCCCTACGGGATACAGGTTTTGAGTAGAGAAGAAACTTTTAAATACTGTGTTAAAAAAAAAATTTCAGAGAGCATATGGTCTAAGTGAGTTGGTTAAATACATCTGTTCATTTGCCAAGCAATGGCTAAAGAATTTCCATGTTGAATTCCTTAAATTGTTAATCATATGTTGTGATATGGAAATACAGATCTTTTGGCCATGGCCATTCTCTTAAAGTAAAGTTTCTTCCCTAATGACTTCATTTTCTTAAAGTATGGTTTCTTCCCTAATGACTTCATTTTCTTTAAGTACGGTTTCTTCCCTAATGACTCCATTTTCTTAAAGTATGGTTTCTTCCCTAATGACTTCATTTTCTTAAAGTATGGTTTCTTCCCTAATGACTTCATTTTCTTAAAGTATGGTTTCTTCCCTTATGACTTCATTTTCTTAAAGTTAAAGTGATGGTTTTTTTTTAAATAAAAATTTTTCACACACCTGCAAAATCCATGACAGCAGTTTGATTAATTTTCCTGTTATACTGGGCCCATGTTGACCAAATAGGATGGTGAAACAACTCCAGGCTGGGCGTACCCCCAGGTTTATTTAAAAATCTGCCCCTCATATAATCACTGATTTCCTTCACATTGTTTGCTTTGCAGACCGTGTATTCTGAAATGTAGCAACAACAAGATGGTAATAATAAATTACTTTAATAATATATTCTAATGTTATAACGTCTTTGAAAAGAGTGACATTAGGCCAAGTTAAGATAATAGACTCATCTATGTAACATGCACAAAGGGAATTGGCTCCACTGGCCCTCTGAGTTGAAAGAAGCTTACTGGCTGTCTCAGTTGAAAGCAGGTGTTGGTTTGGTCAATCTGTACTATATCAAATACCCAGTGTAGTCAAAAAAGCTCATACTATCAAAATAGTGTTTCCGCATGAGATGCTCATATTGCTTCTGTGACTCAATAATTTCAAAACTGTTCATAGAAACTTAACATTTAAAAAAAAAAAATTATATCAGAAAGTCTATAAACAAGACTTTCCATTTTAATTGATGCAGATTATTTTTTTTTTCATTTTAACATTTATTTACCATTAAAATTATATAAAATTCATTAAAATATGTAAAAAAAAACAACAGATTACAGATAAATATTTGCATTATGCAACCCCCCCCAACCCCACAGACACACACACATACACACAAATATAAATAATAATAATAATAAAATAATAGCAACCCACATTAATTCTGATGAAGAGTATTCTTTAAACTTGCAGCAAAGGAGTTAAAAAATATAGCTCATCACAAAAAAATTAAAAAAAAATTAAATTCTTATTAGACTATACTTTTTGAATTCAGATAGCCCTAATGCCACATATTTATAACAACTTTCATTTATTTTAAGAAAAATTTTTAATTATCAAACACTCAAAATTTAGAGCCCATTTAATAATAGGTACAGTAATATTCTTTTTTTAACATTTTATTTGTAGACCTATTATTAAGTTCCACAATAAGGCTTAATTTTTTTTTTTACAGCACAGGCTTTTTCATTAAAGATACAGCATTGTTATAAATTATTAAATATTTTCACATTTCAAGCACCCACCTAGCACTGGAGGCTTCCCCAGGTGACTGAAGTAATGTGAGCCATCATACATTCCAGCAAGACAAATTTTACCATCTTTGTGAGCATTGAAACTGAGGTAAAGAGGTGAGTCCTTGGATACCATTATTCCCACACCAGAAGAGGAGATGAACAGCCTGAAAGAAAGTAACAAACTATTGAAATAATAATGCACAACAAGTTACAGGAATAACAGTAAATTGCAGACTATTGAAAAGATAGTGAACAACAAACTTTTAAAATTATAGTGAACTGTAATTAAAACTGTGGGAAAGTTTGGTTGGCTTCATGCACAAGCTGAGGATAAAACTAAAAATTTAACTCATAAGTCATTTGTTATTATCCTCACAGAGAGTAAATATTTACAAATTCCACTTTTTAAAAAAAATATGGAGCCACCCAGTTCGGAATCTGAGGGTGATTGAATACATGATAGCAGATCAAACGAACAGATGATAAAAGGATAAACATTGAAAATGTTGATGTCTCTGCATACTTCCGCAGTATTAGGCCATGTGTCAGTTTCAATGGATTGAAGTTAAGTAATTCTGTCTATAGTTTGAAGCTAGGGGATTGTTTGATTGAGTTAAAGTCATATGGCCATTGTCATGGATTGAAGTCATCTCGCTGTTAGCAAGGGTTGAAGAAAATTACTCACAACAACGGAGAAGGAAAATATTTCCATCTGCAAAAAAAACTGGACTGAATCTTTCAAATTGAAATAGGCCTACTTCTTACTTTAAATTACAAGACGAACAAATTTAAATCACCTTTCTAACACATTTGCCAGCACCACCTTGTGAATGCCAAAATCTCCAGAAACATAAGGCCCCATGGCAAGCTCCACCCCTTCTGGTTCAGGCTCCTCCTTCTGTGCAGTTAGTAATGTCCCTTCCTTCGACGGCATGGCCTTCTTCAGGGGCCACATTTGGTTAAATGCCTCAAAGCCTCCGTACCAGTGGCTATCTCCAAGGTTGTAGCAGTCCTTCACCATCTGGTTGACACATTTTAACCCTTCTCTTTGTACCTATTTGTAAGAAATATTTTATTAACATTACCATTCAGACAAGTAAAAGCTGCACACGGGACAAATCCTCAATATAGGCGCCCTCTTTCCAAAATGTATATATTAACACACACATTTTATATTAAAAATAAATAAAATGGCTACCTCTAAAGATGGCACCTACAGCAGGGGCCCTCTTTGTCCTCTCCTTGCCCATGCCAACACAATTAATGCATAACAATAGTTTAAAATTTTTAAGAGACACAGTTTTAAAAAAAATAATAGATCATTTGAATGCACAGGACAATATTATAGGTTAACTGAAAATTTTAATATTCTATGGTAGTTTTTTTAAATATATCTTTTCAAGACATTGAAATAAAATTTTTAATCAATATCCTAACGATTACAGGAGAGCATTATTATTTAAACCAGAAAATATACAAGCGATTTCACCACAGACCTATAATTATCTTTTGAAAAAATGACCAAAAATTATGTCTTATAGCTTAATTGCACTTATTGCATATCTAATCTCTCCATGGCTGAATTTGAAATTACCTTATAACAACTGACTCTTTTATTTCCACTTGTATCTGTGATAATTTTTATTCGCTGGTTGTGATTGTCTTGTAAACACCCCATATTGTCATTGTTCTGTTGATGTCTGCAATACTCAGGCAGTCTATCATCTGGTTTATTGAAGTCACTTTGTCCTGAAATATGTTTAGGACAAATTGTAAAATTTTGATTGCATTTTTAAATTAAGAACATGTGTTATGAGAATTTTAATGAACACAAAACATTCATTGTGCACAACAATGTTGACAACTGATAAAATGTCCCACACACAATCTAAGAAAACAATAGAAGGCCTATTTCTCACTGCGACAATTAGCCTTTAAAAAAGTTAACAATGTCAATCTCAATTTCTTCAAATAAATTTTTAAGTTTGTAACCTGCAAGATAAACCTTTCCATTTGAATCTTTAAAAATGATCTGTAGATCCTCAGTTACTGTCACGCCTTGAAGCCACAACACATTAGGTCCAAAGAGCATTTGCTTCGAGAAGTACATGAAGAGGCTACACAATGGGACAAAATATACAAGTCGTGCAAGGCTACTCTTTTGAATGGTGATGGTATCACGGGTCTCCATGTCTAATTGTAAAGAAAATGAAATGTTTTAGTTAATTTTGATTAAACTACATGTAATTTCTATGGAAGTTTTGTTTTCCTCCATCAATCTAGGCTGCCACTATGTAAGTTAGTATGAGACTCCCTAGGTCAAAGATTTAAAAAAAAACACCTCTTCCTAGCAGTGGAAAAGCCCATAAATACAAGTCCGCCCAGAATCACCACCCTGTAAGCCTGAGGTAGCCTGGCTTATACAATATCAGGGACCAGAGCTGACGCTCTTTATGGTCCCACATGGTGCTCCACATCCTCCCCTCCCCTCAGAGGCGTAGCGAGGTGGGGGCAGGGGGGGGGGACAGATGTCCCCGAGCGCCAGCTAGTTAGGGGCACCAAAATGTGCTTTGATATTATTTTATTGATGAAAATAATGGGTTCGACAGTTGAAAAAATAAAAAAAAGAGGCGCCTTAAAATGGATCTTGTCCCCGGGCGCGAATCTTGTCCCCGGGCGCCAAACACCCTCGCTACGCCTCTGCCTCCCCAACACTGGTTGTGGTGTGGCATGCACATTATTGGGTATTGTGAGGGTTTTTGAGACCTTAAGTAAAGCTTTCTTAAAAGGTTGGGTAAGTACCTAACTGATCGCACTAAATATCTTGCTTCTCCTGCCTGGGGGATAAATGGATGTTCTAAAAAAGAGTAGGGTATCATTTTGTCTTCATTCACTTAAATACAACTTAAAACTTAAGGTCAAACACAGCTCCCCATTTTATCTCTTCATTATAATTGACTAAATTAATTTAATGTTTTGCTAGTCACCAGTGTAATCTATAATATGATATGTAAGCCAAATGGCAGAGAACATCATTGTTAACTTCATATATATTATGGGTGCTGGGTGGCCGAGTGGTCTAAACTGAGCAAATCTCAAGTTGATGGTCTGGAGCTCAATCTCCACCACAGCCCAGTCAAGCACCCCAGGTGGATGGGACTAGTTAACCTTGGATGGGACTAGTTAACCTTGGATGGCAACTCCTCTAAGAGAAGGAAACTCTGTGAATTCAAACCCGGAGATGGAGTCCATTAGGCGGATAACATTGGTACAATGAACCATTCTGACAACTCCTGCGACGCCACTGGTGCCAACATGATGTCCCCTTGGGTTATTCAGCGGTGCGGAGAGAGGCGATTTGCTTTTGGGAACCAGCTTTTATTCCTAGAAGAATAATCCCAGGCCTTGTGGATTTTTGTCCTGCTAGGACAGATGCCAGCAAAAAAAATAAAATAAAATATGGCCCCATCCATAAATTTTGTCATGGCAGGGGGGACACAAAATTAATTTAAGACACACTCATTATAGGGAGGGATAAGTATATTTTATATAAATCCTTAAAACTCAATTATTTAACTAAATAACAGTAATTAATAGGCATTAAGAACATATGTCTGTTAAATATAATTAACCTAGTGTTAAAAAATGAAAGTGCACTTAAAAGTAAAAGTAGGCCAAACAAAAATTAGTTGCAGGATTAGCTTAATAATTCATATATATGATTATTATAATAACATGATTATAATTATTTTAAAGTTCATTAATTTGCCTGTGACTGGTAATCCACATTCAGTGATAACATAATATAAATCATTCTCATTAGTAATATTCAATTATAACTGACATTTGTTGGAAGAGGCCAATCTTTCTTGTTAAGAGAGTGTGAAGTGGTACTTCCAGAACCATTGAGTTTGATTGAGTCAGCAGAATCACATCATTCCCTTGACACTGCCTTGACACACACAAAGTAGCGACTGATTTGCACTTGATTTTCATTTGGACTTCATTAAACTTTTTTTTTGTCTTTTTACTTTTTACTTACTTAGTTAAACTTAGTGTCAACTTGGTTTAGATTTTAGATTTAATGTTTTAATTTTAAGAGATCAGATAAGTATTAAGGTTCTTCCAGGCCTAATAAATAATTGTGTTTGATACAGTCAGATGGTTTGAACACAAACTAGTGCAGTGATCTTAATTCTGAATGCTTAAATTAAATACTTCAGACAACAGCTTAACTTACTGATTTTGTTTCCCCCCTCTGTCTGACTCTGATCTTACTGTTTTGTAAACAACATTAGGGGGCCACATGTCAGAAGTTTGCTGTCAATCGTTAGAGAAATTAGAATCGATTACTACAAACAATCTAAATTTCAATATTTTTCCTGATTAAAAATATTATTGTCTGAAATATTACATTTCATAATTTTCATTGCGTATTCGTATGAGATAAAATAATATAATATTTTATTTTAATTTGCAAATGTAGCGCTATATCAGTAAGTTAAATAACACAAGTATCGAGAAATTATGCGATGCGGCTTCTGACCTCAATTGGGTTTCAAATTCATATCTATTTATAGAGGTCAGGGAATGAACTGTTTTCAGGTCAACTTATCAGGCTTTTGGTGCTGACCTTGGTAAATGTTGGGGAAGTCATAGTAAAGTCCAATTTGTTACCTTGAAAGTTTTGATATCATATAATGTTATCACCAAAACCAGTTCTAAGCTTTAAAGCAGGGTCCCCAACCTACGGTGCTCGGGCTATGAGGAAAATTGATTTTAAAAACATGAGTCATAGTTGCCATTAACTGATTAACCTTAAAGTTTCGATATAGTCTACATTTTACTAATAAATTACACCAAATTATACATGTTTATTTTTATTTTATTTTTAAATTCATTAAAATTTGACTAATATTGTTTATGCAATGTGTGCATAATAAATAACACTTTTATGTATTTCAAATAAAAACTAAAAATATTACAAATATAAATGATTTGTTGTCTTGTAGGGTTGGGAAACTAAGTCGTATGGGCATGGAGTCCAAAACATAGAACAAGTTGGAAAACCCTGCCTAACGGTACTTAAAAGAATATGGAATCTGTCGACGTATATTATCAGTGCAAGTATATTTTTTCCAGTGTTCATCTTGTACTATCAGTATCAGCAAGGATGAGTTTTTCAATTTCTATTTTATTTGAACCTTGTGAGTTGAATTTAATACAAACCAATGGAAAATTTCGTAATAAACTGTATCGATCGTCTATTTTTTGACGCGAATAAAACTCAATATTGAGCGTACTCAATATAAATTAAGTACTCATAGTAGTTATTAGTTATTCACTCCCACCCGTTAAATGCTAACAGCACTTATCAGTTTACTTCCCCAATCCCCCAACTATTTTTGTTATTCCCTACAGGTTCCTTAGCTTCAGGCTCTGACTACTTCTCTGAGCCCTACTAGTTCGGTGCACCACGCAGAGGACAGAACCTTAGCACCGGACAATCTAAACTAGGGTGACCAAATCATGAACTGGAAAAAATGTTCTGTGATTAATATACATTCAATTCCAGATCGTAGAATCTATTAATCGAATGTATTAAAAATTATATTTTACGAAAATGATCCCCACTGCTGTTCCCACCCACTATTATCCTTTACAAATTGATATGCAGATGATACTAAATAAACATTTCGTAAAAGTCTTTAGAATCAAAACAAATTTCCAAATCATAATAATTTTATTAGGTACCGGTAGTCAAAGGAATTTTGTTCACCGGGACATTAAGCTTTAGTGTCATTAAGGGAACCTACTCTTAGCTTTAATATATTTTTATACTGCTTTAACCTAACATCTGTTTAAATTAATGTCGAATAACCAGGAGCTGACTTGATGCCAATTGATGATGGTCTATTTCTTAAATGAGCCCAATTTTGTTTTAATTTGGTGTCCATTGTCTTCTAGAATAGTGATATCAAAACATAATAGTGAGTTAAAATAAAGTTTAAGAATTTTGTTAAAACCTAGACTGACAAAACAAGATCACAGATAATGATAAGCGATACACAGATAATTTTATAGACCAGGCCTGCACAAAATACAGTTACAGTACAGCCCGCGGGCTGCATGTGGCCCACCAGCACCCACTTTGCGGCCCGCGAAATAACGAAATATCCTTTGTTTTCTAAATATCTTTCCCCTGTCCTATTTTCGGTACCTTATTTTCTTTTGGCCCTCACAAGTCCTGTCCTATTTTCTTTTGGCCCGCACAAGTTTTACTTAAAGTATTATGGCCCGCCTTACATTTTGAGTTGTGCAGGCCTGATTTAGACTATACTATGACTATACTAAAGTATCTATAGTAGACTTAGACTATCATCATTGTAGGGCTGTCATTTCATAGGCCCTCTAAATTTTAGTTGAATTAGTAAAAAATGATATTTCAATCCTGTGTCTTTACTCTCTCACCTCTCACTAGCAATATCAATATCAGAGGCTAACATTTCAACATAAATTATGATTAAAAGTACTAAAGGGTCCTTGATACTATGCTATAGGCCTACTAATAATAATAATAATAAGTGGTCTTATATAGCATATAAGTACTAGTACTACTACCTATGCCTATGTAAGAAAAATTATGACCATAAAGTATTAATAAGGCTGGCATTAGTATTACGTACACCATTGTGTTGTACCTAGCAAAACCGCTGGCTTTGGCCTGCATATTATACTGCAGCGGTGTACCTAGCAAAACCATTGGCTTTGCCTGCATATACTGCAGCGATGTACCTAGCTAAACCATTCGCATGGCCTGCATACACTGCAGTACAGCAAAACCATGCCTTTTGAAAGACTCTTTGCCAGTCTTTAACTGTTTGGCCTAACCGGTACTTGTAAAATGAATGTTATACTCTTTTAAAAACAATTATTTAAAAAAAAATTAATTGATACCTGCAAGATTAAACAAAATTAGTGCTTTTATTTTTATTGTGTGCAGTACTTGAATCCTGCAGGAATGCATGGGACACAACATTCTGGTAACTTTATTTATTTTTTTGCTAAGAAATATATCCAAATTTTATTTCCGGATATGGTAGAGATATTAGGTAAGTTCCCATACTTTTGTGGCAAGGTACTTATAAAGAGCAAAACATTTCTAAGTAGTATTTTACCGTTTGTATCTGGCAGCTTGATAAGTAAAACGCATTAATTTATCCTAACTTGTACCCTCACAAGGAGGCTATTAGAAGATTATAGGATGACTTATAATAGTCTCTGGGACAGTGGCATAGGATAAGGGGGTTGGAGAAGCGGTCTGCCCTGGGCATAATTTCTTTAAATGGAGGGGCACCATTTTTAGCTAACTGGAGAGTTTTCATGACAGTGGGTGGCCAAAATATTGGCGGGGTGGGGGGGGGGGCGCTTGCATTGTTAAAACATGTGTTTTTTTTTAAAGTTGACAACTTAATTGTATTTTTTTCATTTTCATATATTGCAATAAATATATTTTTCTCCCTTACTTGTATTGTAAGTTTTATCCTACAATTATGAATCTCAAGGCCTAAAAATTAATAAATATCATGGATTTCACATTATTTTAGGTTACAGTTGGCTTTATTAGAGGTATTCATAGGGTAAAAAATTCAGGTTAATTATTAAATTAAATGTATATTCTTTCTGCTGAACCCTCCCTCCCCCACCTCAGTACAGCCATAAGCACCAATATGCAAAAAATCACAAAATAACAAACCCCTCCCCCCACACTGCATACATAATATATGGATGGACTGATTTAGAAAGTTGCATCTAGTGATTCTGTGCTCTTTATAATCATTATTATATTTTGAACTGTAAATTACTTTAAGTGCTTACTGACGTAAGCAACACCCGTTGGGGGGGGGGGACGGACACATGCAGACAAGTAAAAATATTTTGTATTATTCTTTAATCTTAAAATAGGTATGCTAATGTGTTTTAATTAAATTGCAGATAATTAAAGACTGTGGACTTTATAGCCTGCTTGTCAACATGGTAATGTTACACAAGAAATCTTCCTATCTCTCGCAAAAGCTAAGCAGACATGCCTTTGTTATTTGCCTTGGTGGACTTTTTTTTACCCTTGTCATCCTTGTTTTCATGACTGTTTGCAATGGGCCTTGTGATGACAAAACATGTGCTTGGAAGAGGTCTGAAAGCAAAATGTTTTGGAAAGAAAATTTTTTGCCAGCATCTAAAAATTTGAAAGCCAAACTTGTTGTCCTGATTATTTCTAACCCTGATAACATTCATGAAAGGGATGCCATCAGAGAGACTTGGTTAAAAGATACTGATACCAACAGTGTTCTTCCCAAATTTGTTGTTAGCACTGCCTCACTTGATACTGACCACAGAGACAAAATCAACAGGGAAGAACTTGTTCACAAAGATTTGATTATTTTGACAAACATCATGGAATCATATCAGGATTTGACCAATAAAGTTTTACAAGCATTTATTTGGATTGACAGACATGTTGACTTTCAGTATGTTTTGAAAGTGGATGACGACAGTTATGTCAGGGTTTCCAACATATTAGCTGAACTTCAGCATAAATCAAAGGATAGATTGTATTGGGGATTTTTTGATGGTAGAGCAAATGTAAAAACTAGTGGAAAATGGAGGGAAGGCAATTGGAACCTGTGTGATCGATACTTACCATATGCTCGTGGTGGTGGCTATGTTTTATCTAGCGATCTTGTTCAGTTTATCGCTATTAACCATGAACTTTTTCAACACTATCTCAGTGAAGATGTATCTGTGGGGACATGGCTAGCACCACTAAAAATTAATAGGCATCACGATCAAAACTTTGATACTGAGTACATTTCAAGAGGCTGCCTTAATACCTACCTGATAACGCACAAGCAGTCGGTGTTGAAATTACGTGAGCTTAACAATAACTTATTAACTTTAGGTAGGTTGTGTAAAGATGAAGTAGTTTTAAGAGCGTCTTATGAATATGACTGGAATTATCCCCCTTCAAAGTGTTGTATAAGACCTGAAAAAGTACCAGTACCAAATTTGGGTAAAAAGGCAAACAATATGCTGTTTTCTAAAAGCCATTTAAAATAATCTAAGATAGATGCTCTTTTTACAACTTCATTTTCAGAAATGATGGGGAAATTTGATAACTTAATTGTTGTGTAACTGTAATATTTGTACATTTTATTTCTTCTCACTTCATTTATTGAGTATGGTATTGGTATCTCTAAAACACATATTTGATTAAACCTAAGCCAAAAGCATTCAATTTTCAATTTCAATACAAATATTTCTTTTCTATTTAGTACCAGTACGGTATTCAACTGTTTTAGTATTTTTAGAATCGGAACTTAAAAATGCTTTATTCTGTATTGGTGATGGCTTACTTTGGGTTAAAATAGTTTAAATAGGATTACAAAATTACACTGCGCAATTTGTCATTTAAAATTATCTCACAAGTCTGTTATCAAACATAAATATTTGTTCGTATCCTTAGAAAGCTTAACTTAATTAACCATTTTATGATTTTTTTTAATACCAAGTTTGGCAATATGTCACAGAGAAATAACCAGCTATTATATTTACATATCAAGAAAGAGCAACCCTGTTTATTTTTAAATCGAAAATTCAAATTCTGCCGACACCCACGTGTCATTTAATATTATTAAATTTGGAATATCAGAAACAATTGGTACCGTAATGTAAATTTTGTATCTTTTCTCAAAAAATATAGCCTGGGGCTACTTTACTAATACAAAATTATTGCTGGTGGCTAAACTCACACAATCTTCATTGATATAGAAAACAAGCTACAGGTATGGGAAAACCCCTTCTTATCATGTAGAAAAAGAAAGGATAGGGACTGATTTTTACCAAATGGCGACAACCTTGTTATTTCTAGATCCAGCCGTAGGAATCTTGCCTATAGGCAATTTTTAACCTTGCATTTAGTACCATGTCTATAAGGTTACACCTTGTATTTTTAAATTGCCAATGATGTTTTCAATCCGTTTTTTAAAGCAAATTCACATTTCATGCATCATAGCCTATACTTTTGAATTGAATTAAGTAAACTGATATATTTTATTTGTTGATATTACAATTATTATTAATAAAAATATCATTAAGACTTATTGAGTTCAACTTATTGTGACTTAAATGACATTGTTTAATTTCGTTGCTATTTCACTCTAACCCAATAGTTGAACTTTAAAGGTTTCTATTCGTTATTTGATAAATATAAAGGGTCGGGGAGAGTAAATAACACTATCTCAAATGCGGATGGGCTACTGCAAAGCACAATAATACTTCAATTTGCGCAAAAAATAACAGGGAGTCGACCTGCAGCATTGCACACTAATTCTGAAAACAGGATCTATTATATGGCAGTGCTAGCAAACAGAGCTATAAAAAATAATAAAGCACAATTAAGCTCGGCCCCTCCCCAAGGACTGATTAGTAGTAATCCAAATCAAACTTGAGTCATTATTCTACTGCCACAAAATGTTTGAAACTGAACCTACTGTACTTTAACGCATTACTATAATTCAGTTATGACAAATTAGGTATCACTACCAGTATCTTAATTTTTCCTTTTCAAAAGTCAAAAACAGATTGCTTTTCAATGTTGCAGTACGTAAAAATTATAACTTCATATATGAAACAAATTGCATTATAATTGTGTTTGAGTTAATGTAAATTATAATTTTGTTTAAAAAAATTACTATACACCAACCATACACTGCAAATGGGCATCTTTTATATGATTCATTACTTTTATAGTGCTTGTATCCATGCTATTTTAGCATGCTCGGTTAGCATGCTCATCGATCTCTGATGTCTTAAAATCTATTTAATTTAAAGAAAAATTCTTTAAATTAATTTTTATGATTTTTAATTTCCCTCAGAGAATGAGGCAAAATGTTTCATAATTTAGGTGCAATAGCTTCAAAAGAGCACCCTCAGTATGACTTCTTCTGATGACAAAAGGTCTCATGCTAGCAGCTGAACCGGCCACTGTGATGCGGCATGCCACTGTGATGCGGCATGCGGATGGAAGAAGTGGCAAAATCAGTATAACATCTCCTAAAGAATGTTACCTATTAATATTATAATTCCTTTACTGCTCACCTACTCTAGCATACTTGTATTTTGGTAAATAATAATTTGATTTTAAAGACCTAATGTATACAAGATTGCCTGACCAGCCTAACTCTTATTATGTACGCATGTGGGCAAACATTTTGGAATATTCTGATGCTCATAGCTATTGTATTTTTAGAAATGTACTTGGTATATATGTTATTTGCTTCAGCTGACCAAAAATAACTCTGAGACATTCTAGTCTACTTGTTTATTTGTTACATTAATGACAAAATGACACAAAAAAACAACAGAAAAATCACATATCTGATCAAACCTTAATTAAGATAAGTCCTTTGCAGTTTATGTTTGTAAAAATAAGGGAAATAATGACCACATAATGCATTTATTTCATCAATGGAAGTAAGTACCAAAGAAAAATATAATATAAAGTGATAATTTACTTATTTGACATGCATTCCTCTCAACCATCTCCTTGTCAGCCAAGTCAAATACATGGTGGACCACAAACAAAATGTGTGATGGTTTGAACTTAGCTACTGGAAAACTAAATTTGTTCAACTAAAATCTTGCCAACCAGCTAAAGATATATATCAAGATTTTTAGCCAGAGAAATTATACTTGTCTCTTCACTATTTATTTTTTCATCAACATATCATTAAGACCTGTAGCAAAATTGCTTTGTTAATGATGTTCAGAATTTACAGGACTATTGTTAGAGCTAAATGGAAATAACAATAATATGCTATCAGAAGATTGCTGAGTGCAATGATCATGAAAATTACAAGAAAATTAGAGTGATTTCTAAAATGGAAAATATTCATCCATAATTTAAGCGAATGGCTAACGATTAGCAGCAAAAGAGGAAAATATCAAATACACTTACAGTGATCTTCTAGCCCAGTAAGTGAATTATTTAGAATAACAACAATTTAGTTTCACAGTTCTTATACCGATACCGGTATGTGAAATAATTTTGTTAGAGAACAAAATTCAATAATCTAAGCTAATCATCTTTCATTGGAAAAGTGCTACAACAAAGATCTTAATAAAGAAGGATGTGATTATTATAATTACCTGTACCTATATATACAATAATAAAATAAAATTTACTTTCTCTTAAGGAAAATTTTCAACAAATTTATGGACAGATTAAATTTAATGTAAGAAGCACTACCACAATTAAAAATTAAGATTTAAAAGTGAAGGCAATTTTCCCCTTTTAATTGACAATCTAAAGTCTGATTACAACTTGTGGGCCGTAAACAGCTTATGGTTCGGTCATCATTCGTTGGTACGAAAATTTATAGAGAGATTATCCATGATTAACTAAAAAATTATGCCAATTGAATAATTAAAGGCAAATAATATTTTCTTAAAATTAACATGTATTCCACTACCTAAATATTAATTATACTTGTTTTTGTTGTACTTATACATTCGCATTGCTATAATAAAAACTTGTAGCAATATTGGTGGGAGACATATTTTATAATGAAAGCAAATCAAAACTGAACTTTGAACATTTGTACAAAAAAATGCAACAGCAACATCCTGAAAATATATAACAATACTATATCAAAACTATAATACAACAATGTACAAAGAACTGGTCACTAAAGAATTATCTGTTTAACAAATTTAGGTAATGTTTCAAGATTTCTCTTTATTTTCTGATGTTCCCCCATTTCATTACATCAAAATGTGTAAAGTGAGAAAATAAGCCCAGATGATATTAGACAAATTTAATAGATGTTTTAGTTACCTGACACTGGAATTAATTTTCACAATGATTCGATAATGAGAAATATACATTAAAAAACTAATTTTTCAAGCTTTTTAAATTATCCTACAGTAATAACTTTTTTACATTTCAACAAGCCTTATGGTTGACAAATGTTTATTGCATACAGGATAAATCTTATTTGCTTCCTAAAAGATTCAGACAAATTCTAAAATAGCTGTGAATATGGAATTTAAAGAGGGAAAAAAACAAACTATTTCAAAAAAGCAAGAAGTGAGAAAGGAATGGAATCATTTAGTCCTGGAATGTCAAATGATGATACGCTACCCCGGTACTACAAATGTCTGAAATTCTAAAGACAAAAAAAAAGTTGTGAAAGGAATCCTAGCAAACTACGCTTAAAAGATGGTCTTGGGCACAGTTTTGCATTAAATAATTTTTTTTTTTAAATACAGGTATGTGAGAATTTTATACAGCTCAGCAATGAATTTACAAAGCTATCAAAGCTATTCACTACAGGCTAACTTTCTAGCCAAAAGCACTTAAGAGTGGTGCTCCCCTTTGCTAAACCAGAATCACCATAAATCAGAATCAAAGTATTGTAAATCAATGTAAACATCAGCCTAAGTGTAAAGTATTACATTCCCTTGTCAACTGTTCAAAGGACATATGTTTATTATTCACCCTCCTGTTCATTACTGCCTGTGGAAGCTTCACTAACTCCATTTGCATATAGAGTTCTAATCAAAATCAAATAATCTTCCAGTGCATTAAAAAAAAAGTCATAATTAAAAAAACAATAAAATTTTGTAATCTAAAAAGTCATACCCCCACCCCAACTTAATTTTATATGCTTTAACTGGAGTCTGATATATTATTTAAGACTCTTACTCCAGCCAGAAGACTTGGGTTCATGAACTGCAGATGCGAGGAAAGAGTTAATTTTGCATCATGCACATGCCACCATATATTTATATTTATACATACATAACTATATGCAAATATTATCTTTGCAAGAACTAAAAAAAAATATCTGAGAGTTAACTAATTATGAGGTCCAGTGCATAAGCATATGACAATTTTACAGTGAGCCTTAGAGGGGAACGGCGACTAAAACACAAGAATCCACTTTGGATGTGGAGAAGAAACATTGGTGAAAAATCAAATCAAGTATTACATAAGTGAAAATTTATCACAATACAGGATTATAATCTCACGTTCCATAGTTATTTTAAAAAAGTAATTAAAAATAATCAGGCTAAGATACTTGACCAGTCAGCTTCTGTGAAGCAGGATGAAATGGAGAGT